AGTTACGGTCTCTAATAAGTACCAGGTGTTGCAGCAGTTAGCTGAAGATGTCAACACAGAAGTCTGCTGGGATCAGATCAGAGGAATCTGGAATGAATCTTGCGTAGAAGTTCTTGGCAAGAAAGAAAGGAAACATAAAGCATGGATAACACCAGAAACCATTAAACTGATTGAAGATAGGAAAAGTAAAAAGGCAGAATTAAACAATAGCAAAACTAGAGCTGCTAAAGCTAGAGCTCAGGAGAAATACACAGAAGCCAACAAGGAAGTTAGGAGGCATATAAGGGCAGATAAAGTGAAATATCTAAATGATCTAGCACAAGAAGCAGAGACAGCAGCAGCAAAAGGAAACCTCAGAGAACTTTACAGTAACACAAGAAAATTAGTAGGTAAATATAGTCAGCCAACTGGATCAATCAAAAATAGTCAAGGAAAGGTACTTACTAACACTAAAGATCAAATGGACAGATGGGTTGAATATTTTGAAATGCTTCTAAATAGACCAGGCCCAGAGGTTCCCCCAGATATCCAGCCTTTAGAAATGGAACTGGATATCAACTGTGAGACACCATCCAAAGAGGAAATTAGAAAAGCTATAAATCTTCTCAAGGAAGGAAAGGCGACAGGCTTAGACGGTATCCCAGCTGAAGCCATCAGGACCAACATAAACACATCAACAGAATTGCTACATAGATTATTCAGTAAAGTCTGGGAGACCGAAGAAATACCAGCAGACTGGAGAGAAGGATATCTTGTGAAACTGCCCAAAAAAGGTGATCTACAGGAGTGTGAAAACTATAGAGGAATTATGTTGCTGTCAGTTCCTGGAAAAATATTAAGTAGAATTATTTTGGAAAGATTAAAAGATGCTTTTGATAAAAAGCTAAGAGATGAGCAGGCAGGTTTTCGGTCAATCAGATCCTGTACTGATCAGATAGCCACATTACGTATTATAATAGAGCAAAGCATTGAACTGAACTCACCACTTTACATAGGATTTATAGACTATAAAAAAGCATTTGACAGCATAGATAGGGAATCTCTCTGGAAATTGATGGGGCACTATGGAATCCCACAGAAAATTATCAACTTAGTAAAGGCAACATATAAAGACATGAAAGGTCGAGTTCTTCATGAGGGAAAGCTAACAGATGCATTTGAAATAAAAACAGGTGTGCGACAGGGATGTCTTTTGTCGCCTCTCTTATTTTTACTGACTATAGACTGGACTAGGAAAACAGTAACTGCTAACACCAAGAATGGAATTCAGTAGACCCCTACAAAACAGCTTGATGATCTGGACTTCGCTGATGATATTGCTCTTCTGTCCCATTCACGGAATCAGATGCAAGATAAATTAAATATACTTAATGCGAGATCAAAGCAGCTTGGTCTGAAAATCAGTACTATTGTATGGGGCGGAAACATGGAGAACAACCAAGGCAATTACTAATAAATTACAGACATTCATTAACTGGTGCCTGCGCAGAATAGAGGGAATAAAATGGTATGATAGAATAACTAATGTAGAACTTTGGGAGAGAACTAAACAGGCTCCAGTGGATCAGGAAGTGAGGAAAAGACGCTGGCGTTGGATAGGGCACACACTGAGAAAACAGGAGAACAGCATTACTAGAATGTCTTTGCATTGGAACCCACAGGGGCATAGGAATAAAGGAAGGCCAAAAAACACATGGAGAAGAGAGCTGGAGAACGAGGTTAGAAAGATTGGGAGGACATGGGGAGAGCTCCATGCAATGGCGAAGGATAGAACGACTTGGCATGAGTTGGTTGAGGGCCTATGCTCCATTGGGGGATAGAAAGGCAGAAGAAGAAGAAGACAACAGGCACAAGGGTAGTAACCCATAAGTGCTCTCTTCTACTTCTAACTCAAGCCTGAGGTCGAAGAATCTCAGCGCAGTGCACGAACTCTGTAGCACTGGTGAGGATCATGAAACACTTATGGGTAGATTTTTAGCTCAAAATTTTGCCTGGGCAGCGCCGTTAGGCTTCTCTTTTTTATTTCCAACAGCCAAGGGATTTTTTAGATGCACAACAATACACACGGGTGTGCGATCTTAATACTCAGAAACCAGAGGAAATTACTAGGTCCAAAAATCCCAGTCTTCACTGGGGCTTGAACCCAGGGACCTCCAGCACTCAAGGTGGACGCTATGCCTCGAGAATACTCAGCCCCCACACAGAGACTGTTTGTGGCTTAACAAGAAGGTCAGCAAAACACTCCATAGGAACTAAACTTTGGACAGCCATTAATTTAGGTGGATATGTTACTGTGTAATCATAAATGATAACCACAGCCAACACAAACATAACACAACGCAGTACAATTTCTAAATGAATCATCTGAACAATATAAATAAAAAACACTTACATGCAAAAGGTGTATGGAAAGGATTCTTTCTGCCAACTGACACTAACACCATCAATCTGCAGACCCAAAAAAACGAAACAACAGAAAATTATTTAAATATGGCAGATAGAAGACACGTAAAAAAACACTTTAGGAACAAAATTTACAAAGCAAATAAATGCTATTTATGAAAATGAAAACATTTTTTTTTAATGTAATAAGTCACTTTGATTGAATGTTTAAATGAGTGTTTAAAAAGTTAACTGCATAACAAATACGTACTTGTTAAAGGATATTACAAACCAACCCCAGTATTTGTTGGTTGTTTGTAGTTTTACTAGATAATCTTGCATTCAGTAGTTTGCAATTTTCTCTAAATGGTCGGCCCTCTTATACCTTGTCAAAATCAATGCAAAGTGGTCTGTAGTCAAACTGCCTGAAGCTGAATCTCAGCTGGTATTTCCATATAACCTTTGACCCTGCTGTTTAGGAATGGTTTTACAAATAGGGTCACGGTCTTGTGGGAATTCCCATAAACAATTTTTTAACAAAAAATATATTTAAATTTACAAAGGTCTGTAATAAATGTAAAAAAAAATTTTTTTTTAAACTATCTACTTTGTTACATTTTTCTGAAGTATTTAAAGATGGATAAAGGCAGTAATCAAGAGACACAGACATAATGAAGCTTTAAATTATGTATATTCCCCGGGGTCGTAAAAAATATGTATCAGGGGACATATGCCATGACCCTATGACCTCTATCACTGAGGCTATGTGAAATGTATTACTTCAACCTGGCTCTTAAAAAACCTGAATGCTGCGAGGGTGCAAATTCAGCCAATAGCATTAACTATGTATCTCATACACATGTCACTCTAGACAAGTCAGGAAAGTGACATTTATGGGGAAATTGGGCCTAACCGCAGCTTCTCAAGGTGTAGAATAGGGTAAATGAATGTGTTTTTTTTTTTTTTTAAATTTCACCTGAAAAATGTGGGAGCTCCACAAGCCATTAAGTTATATTGCATGAACCTGGGCAATGACAGATGACAAGAACTATCATGACATTATGACATCAGCATCAAAGTATTCATACTCACAATAATGGTGTCAATCACATCATAGTCAATAGGTCTATTAACAACATCATCTCTAACTTGCAGACACTTGACATTCTGTGTTTTCAGGAGAAGTCTGTTCCCTTCAATGCTGATCTGGCAGGTATAAAATATATATTCCGTCAGCTCATTCAGTACCAAGCAACTCATACAGAGTTTGTCAGTTTCTACTTTTCACGCCAGTGGTGTTTTGGGCGTATGATGCTGGGCTCACATATTTATAGACCAATCACCATTCAATGAATGAGGTGATAAGCATTATACTGGCCACATTTACTTCCCCCAAATTCACCTGTACCCATTTTAGGCTGGGTTGACCTAGGAGCCAAGGTAGTTTTTAAAAAATATTTATTAAAAATTTTTTTTTATTAGTGGGGGAAAAGTAGGAGGGGGGGGGGAGAGGGAACGCAGCTTCTCAAACACATTGTATAATAGTCTTTTCTTAACTCCTTGAGCTCTATCAAACGGTTCCACTAACACACTCTGCCCTAACTACTTTATCACCAACTAACACTGGTGATACTTAACTCCCTCAGATCCAAACAATAATTAGTTAAAGTAACTAGTTCTCAAGGTAAGACTCGCTAAGGGACACCAGTTTAAGATTTCAACATTTAAACAAATAATGACATAATTTATGTCTGAGGGTCTTGTAAAAAAAACTGTAAACACCCTGGTCATATGGCTTAATTCTGTGGATACACAGGAACAAGTAGACAACAACAGAAAGACCACAAAATGAAGAAGACCAGAGAATTTATACATTGAAAGATAAATACAAGTTACAGAATACACCTGCCAGTTGGTCTAAAGGTCTTAAATTCAAAATAAACTGATGCTGGCTCCCATGTAAAAAAAAAAAAAGTAAAGGACCTTTTTCCACGCCTTTAGGCGTATAGGGCATATAAGGCTAGACCTATATTTTATAGATCAATTGTCACAAGATGGGTGATGTGGTCAGCATCACAGTGGCCACCTTTACTTTCTGGGACCCCACCCGGTACCCACTAAAGGCTGGGTCAACTTGGGAGCCAAAGTCATTTTTTAAAAGAAGTCCGGCTCCAGCAGGGAGCAAACTCAAGACCTTCTGATTCGCAGGGAGCGTCTAGCCACTCGGCCACGGTGACTCCTGGGTGCCAGGTTAACTCAGCCTAAAAAGGATACCAGGAGATGTCCTAAAAAGTAAAGGTGTCTGATGTGATGCTGCCCACATCTCTAATCTGACTGGTTTATAAAAAATATAGTTCTAACATCATATGCCCAGTCTACCAATGGTGTCCATGGGTATTTTACAAAAGTGTCTTTTTCTCTTTTGTGTCGACAAGAGCCATGTTAAACATTCAATCTCGTCTGAGTCACAAAACAGGACAGTGCATCTAAGGTCGCACAAGTTTACCATACATTGTCTTGTAATGAACCTCCACTGAACTCGATCCCTAACCTCTAGAGGGATCTTTTTTTTTTGTGTCAACACACATTACCAACAACATCAACAACAAAATAAAGATTTAAAAAAAAAATGCAGGATAAAAAAAAAAGAGAAATTTGTTATGTACCTGAACTGTGCTGATTCTCAATGGAATAATTTGCTGCAATACTGCGATACCCTTTAACCCATCGCCAAATGCTGGATTGATTGTAACCAAAGTTACAGGTTCTGGCTGGAGGCTCTTGTACCTGTTTGAGCTTGTCCCACATTCCTGACTGCCAGCAGAGCAGTAGTTATCCAGCTGGCTGGAAGTTGCTGATATGTGATCTATAAACTGTCTTATCTGAGCGTCATTAACACATCCGCCATCATTTGCCTCCCTGGTAAGACAAAAGTACATTTACTAAACAAACCTAGACCACCCTGTGATATAATTTGTATGTATTTGTGTATATTTATATAGATAAATATATATACATAAACAAATTAGGGATTGCCTAACAGATAAACTGTAGTACTAAACAAACCATAAAGACTACTCAGGGGTTATAAAACTAAACATATTAGAGATTACTAAAAACAAATCAGACTAATTATGATAAGTAAAATTAAGTGTATGAGTACTCAAAGAATATGCAGCTAACCAACTGAAGAAAAACTACCAATTATATATACAACAAAATAAACATACCTATAGATTTCCTTTCAGGGTAATCAAGTTTACAACCTACAACAACCAATCAAGGGTAATTCGGTTACATAAACATTTCTAAACTGAACATTGAAGAGTAATTTTATTAATAAATTACCCCAACAACAGATAATATGATCAAGCCCAAAAAGGGTACCAGGAACAGTTCTGGGAAATAAAGTTGGCTGGTGGGGTATTCTTATTCTTCCTAAGGCTCACCAAAAATAAACTCCAGCAGAAAGTTTGGCTGTTCATCCACTCCTGGTCTTTCATCTTGATCCAGAACTTGAGTCTGGTGTGCATATATGTTTTTAAACTTCTGCCTTATTTGTTTGTAGAATGCGTCTTATACTTGGGGAAATACATTATTGCCACTTATGACTCTTCAATGTATCATGTTTAGATTTACGTTAAGTAAACAAACAGAACAGACAGCCACAGTGACTTCCATACTTTGTGTCCCACCACCAGTGTGCTAAGTTAGGTAACTCTGAATAAGTTACGTTAACTCTAGCTTCCTTGAGAAGGCGCACCATTCGGCGCACAAAGAACGGGTGAACAGTGCGGTCCTCAGCACCAATTCTCGCCAAAACTGAAATACCCTGTAGTAGAGGAAATACAAATAGTTTAGTTTCCGACATTTGAGACTGATACTAGAAGTACCTATGCGGGTGTTCGAGGCAATAAAAAAGCAGATTACATGGCAGACATTGCAGTTACTTTGAGTTGTCTGGAAAGGGACAGGAGAGTTGTCACTAGCCCTATGCAAGATGTATATCATCATGTAGCAGGTCCTTTGCAGAACACCGTTCTCATCACGGTCTGCCTGAAAGAGACTCGGTCTCTCACCAGCCATCTGGCCTCATGCACTTTCATTTCTAAGGAGCCATTTATCTACTATGCCCATCTTCATGTTGGTAGGCCCCTGCCCTCATTCCATGCATACAGCAAAGATAATTACGACAACAAGAATGATTCCATAGCCCTGTTGAGGCTGGTGGATATGGGCTGCAACTTGAAACTACAAGACATAAAAATGTCACTAAGGGCACAAGTCGTTTAATTAATCAATACAGAATGGTCATAATCAGTCATTTTATACTTGTGGAGTCACTGAGAAAATTGGAACACCTACTTATCGTTCCCGAGTGCTGTGATGACAGTCATCCCGAATCACTAATCTACGGAGAGCTATTTTAGAATGTAATCATGTCATGAAGCAGTCCATGGTACATATGGACTGGCTGGGTTAAGGCATAGACTGGCAATGTTTTCTGGACACAACTTTTTGAACTTCATCGTCAAACGGATTCTAACTCAATGCATTAAGAAAAGTGATGTAGCTAAAACTAACCATTTTATATTTTTTAAACAGACTAGTCTAAGTTTATGAAATATTTTAAAAAGAAAATATCTTGTATTCCAGATTCACTCAAACAAAATTTTAATTATCTTCATAAGATTTAAGGGAGTAATGGTAGCACAGTGACTTGATATTTGTCTGCTGAAGGTCTAAGGTTCAAATCTGCGCCCAAGTAGATTTTTCTGAAAACTGATCTTGGCTACCAGCTTGACCAGCCGAAAATGGGTAACAAATAATGTTCTGGGAAGTCTGGGTTATGTGCGCGATGTTGACCACATCAAGTGCCCAATGGGTTTTTCTTTCTTCTTCTTCTTCTGCGTTCATCCGAAGATGTAATTGTAGGTGTCCGTTTACAGCATGGCTGTGATATTTGCACCTTTCGGGCAACACATCCGACTTCTGCGGGCATTTGTTGACCGGGTTAGCCTTCCCGGCCGAATGGGTTTTTCAATACAGGTCTATACGTCCAATGCTGTAAAGGGGTCCTTATCAAAATTGAAACAATAATATATGTTGTCTACCCACTTCTACTCTGGTGTGTGCATGGACAACAAAGAACTCTCTAGAGTGAATCTTCAGGTAGATATCCATTACACTGAGGTCAAGAGGATAAACTTGATTGCACCAGGTTTGATCCTATATGGCTTGCTCTCTATCTCCTCAGGAAGGCTAGCCACTTGCTGTCAGCGACGACCCCCAGGGATTCCTGTTAAACTGCACTCCCACCTCTTGCTAGTCACATTTGCCAACTCCAAGAGCTGTGATTCCCAGAACTCTCTATAGAACATTTAACACTGTTTTCTGGAAGAAGGAAAGATGCAGACTAAAAAAAAAATAAGAATATCAAGTTTATTACAAGCGTTGAAGCTCAGTATCAAGTTTATTACAAGTGTTAAAGCTACCTTTAAGTTTGTGACATGTTTGTCTGCATCATTTTCTCCTATACAGGCCTCCATGATTGCTTTCACTGAGGCATCAGTGTGGCTGGTTGAAATATCATGCCTGTAGACAAAGAATGACAGTGACAATCTGGTTTCTGGGGAAAATGCAAAGAATAACATGAGCAGACAGAAACAAGGACACGTTTGCTATGAAGCTAAAACTAGGATTACCAGATTTTACCAGAAGGAACGATGCAGCCATAACTGTAAACTGATTATAGGAACAGACAGATTTTTTAAAAACATGCTGGAGGGTGAAAAAAAGTGACAACTGGAAAACTTGATGTAAAAGAACAAACAGAAGACAAAGAGAATGACCTAGATGGTTTAGCTGCAAAATCTAACTAACTATAAACAGGTCTAAACAGGCCTTTGATAAGCTGGTTGAAGGCCTATGCTCCAACTGGAGACAAAGGAGGAGATGAAGAAGAAGAAGACAAAGAAGAAGAAGGGGAAAAGAGGAGGAGAAGAAGTGGAAGGAAGGGGAGAAGAAGAAAAACCTACACACTAATCCTCAAACATTCTACGTTCATTAAGGTGTGAAATATTACTGCTGCCTGATTGGCTGATAATCTGCTGGAAGACAAATATAATGTTTAGGTCCAAATCCTGAAAGACCTGACATAGAAAGAGAGAGAGAGAGAGAGAGAGAGAGAGAGAGAGAGAGAGAGAGAGAGAGAGAGAGAGAGAGAGAGAGAGAGAGAGAGAGAGAGAGAGAGAGAGAGAGAGAGAGAGAGAGAGAGAGACAGACAGACATACAGACAGAGAAACACACAGAGAGAGAGAAACACACAGAGAGAGAGAGAAACACAGAGATAGAGAGAGAGACAGAGAGAGAGAGAGAGAGAGAGAGAGAGAGAGAGAGAGAGAGAGAGAGAGAGAGAGAGAGAGAGACAGACAGACAGACAGAGAGAGAAACACAGAGAGAGAGAGAGACATAGAGAGACAGAGACAGAGAGAGACAGAGACACAGAGAGAGAGAGAGAGAGGTCTCCTGAACTGATGTTAAAGTACCATGTCCATGGTGATTATGGTAGTGCTCTTTCCCCCCTTCCCAAGTCTTTGGATCTTTTCTCCAGGCTATGCCAGCGTGGTAGAGAATGAACAGGCAGACATGATGGCTGGATCTGCACTACTGGGTGGTCAAGTGATGCATGACTGGGCAGATGAGGTCAGGGCCCTTTGAGAACAAGCAATGAAGTCAGAAGCGAAACAAGATTATTATGGCTGGGTGTAACCAGAGGGTCTGGCCGGCTCACCACACTCACAAGAAAGGCAAGACGGACATATAACCAGATTACGATCAGTACCATTAGTACTGGAACGCTGCGATGGATGCTGAAGATGAGAACGGAGCACACATGGGAATGCCCCGAGTACTGTGATGTCAATTCTTGACTCAACTCAACTCAACTCCCTGGAGGAAGGACAGCACCAGCAATACTGGTACATCAGAGTATATTACAATATAACCAGTCGCCGTGGCGTAGTGGCTAGTCGCGGCTAGTAACCAGTCACCCTTGTCTGCAGATCCGAAGGTTGTGGGTTCGCTCCCTAGCGGAGCCGAACGTTTTTTAAAAATAACTCTTAGCTCCCAGGTCAACCCATCATTGAGTGGGTACCAGGTGCAAGCCTGGGAAGTAAAGGCAGGCGGAGTGACGCTGAGCCCATCACCCATCTTGTGCCATTGGTCTATAAAATATAGGTCTAGCCCTAAATGCCCAATACGCCTGAAAGGTGTGGAAACGGGTCCTTTACTTTACAATGTAAGCAATTTACAATTCTGTACAAATGTAAAAATAAAAAATAAAAATAAAAAAAATTTGTTAAATAAAAATAAAAGACCCTTCTTTTGCCTGTGGACATTGTGGATATGATGCTACATTCTGGATTGTATAGACCAGTTGGCAATCGGTAGGTGAGGTGTCCAACATCATGCCAGCCACCTTTACTCCCCCCCCCCCCCCTCAAAAGAAATTCATCAAAATTACCTAAAAAATAAATTGCTCTCTCCATACTCCTCCTTCTTGATCCAGCCAGCCAATGAAATGAGACCAATAGTCCTGTCAGGAAAGTGGGTCGCCAAGTGCCATGCCCCATGTCCTCCCATTGAATGACCTGGAACCATGTGAGCAAAGTATGCAAACCATGCAATGAATTTATACAAAACCATGCAATGAATTTATACAAACCATGCAATGAATTTATACAAAATATGCAGTGAATTTATACAAACCATGCAGTGAATTTATACAAACCATGCAATGAATTTATACAAACCATGCAATGAATTTATACAAACCATGCAATGAATTTATACAAACCATGCAATGAATTTATACAAACCATGCAATGAATTTATACAAACCATGCAATGAATTTATACAAACCATGCAATGAATTTATACAAACCATGCAATGAATTTATACAAACCATGTAATGAATTTTATACAAACCATGCAATGAATTTATACAAACCATGCAATGAATTTATACAAATCATGCAATGAATTTTATACAAACCATGCAATGAATTTATACAAACCATGCAATGAATTTATACAAATCACGCAATGAATTTATACAAACCATGCAATGAATTTATACAAACCTTGCAATGAATTTATACAAACCATGCAATGAATTTATACAAACCATGTAATGAATTTTTATACATGTAAAACATGCAAACCAATTTATATACAAACCATGCAATGAATTTATACAAACCATGCAATTAATTTTTACAAACCATGTAATGACTTATACAAACTGTGTAATGAAATTATACAACCTGTGTAATGAATTCACACAAACCATGTAATGAATTTATACAAACCATGCAATGAATTTATACAAACCATGCAATGAATTTATACAAACCATGTAATGAATTTATACAAAACATGCAATGAATTTATACAAACCATGCAATGAATTTATACAAACCATGCAATGAATTTATACAAACCATGTAATTAATTTTTACAAACCATGTAATGAATTATACAAACTGTGTAATGAAATTATACAACCTGTGTAATGAATTCACACAAACCATGTAATAAATTTTTACAAACCATGTAATGAATTATACAAACTATGCAATGAATTTATACAAACCATGCAATGAATTTATAAAAACCATGTAATGAATTTATACAAACTATGTAATGAATTTATACAAACCATGTAATGAATCTATACAAACCATGTAATGAATTTATAAAAATCATGATATGAATTCATAGAAACAATGTAACAAATTTACACAAGACATTTAACAAAATTAAACAAATCGTGTAACCTTGCACAGACAAAAGCCAAGAGTTGAAATGACATATGCCATGTAATAAAAATTACCAGAAAAACCACATAACAAAATGATACAAACCACATGACAAAACTAAACAAAACCATGTTAAAAATTACACAAGCTAAACCATGTCATGAAATTAAACAGAAATGACTTAAGTAGTTGTCAACTTGCAAAGTTTAGCATTACTTTGTAAGGTTATTATTATTCTGATCGGGGCATCCAATGGAAGATATCCATTAGAAACGATGTGATAGATTTATACCTACACCACCCACCTAGCAAGAGCCATATGATAATGATGAGGGATTTCTCTCCTGACAGAGTTGTGTGTGTGTGTGTGTGGGAAGGGGTTCTCTGTGTGAGTGACAGGGGCCCCATAGCATGATGTAAAGACGACTTTTTAGGGTTCTGATGAAATCGGATGTGTTTGGCCAAAAGGTGCAAATATTGCAGCCTAGCTGTAAACCACAATACCACACGCCAACCGCTCTCTTAAGAGCAAACACAGAAGAAAAGGAAAACGTGAAGGGGAAAACAATTTAATTATTTCACTCAGACAACAACAATGACAATATATGAGAATATGAAGGGTCCAAAGGGATTCAGAATGCTAAAAAAGAAAAAGGAAAGTGTGGGGGGGGGGGGGGGGGGGAGGAGGAAAGAAGTAGGAGAAAGAGAAGCTGAAGAAAAAAGGACCAAAAAACATTAAGTAAAGGAAAGGACCCTTTTACCCGTCTTCAGGCGTACTAGGCATATAGGGTCTAGACTTATATTTTATGGACTAATCAGCACTCGATGAGTGAGTAGTCAACATCATGCAGGCCGCCTTCACTTCCCAGCGCTGTATCTGGTACCCATTTAAGACTGGGTCCACCTGAGAGCCAAGGTAATTTTTTAATCATCTTGCCGCTACACCATGGCTGTCCACCTCTTCTTCTTCTTCGTTCACCAGCAGTGAATTCTGGTGGAAGGTCCCAGTTAATCGTCTGCTTGGATTTGTGGCTTTTACCTGACCTGAATTTTGCGTGTACAACCGTTTTACTGGCTTTTGGCATTCCCTGCCTCACAGGCAGATGTACTCCGACTTTGAGGAAGGGCAGTCCACGAAATAAAAACATTATCCCACACACACATATATTATATATATATATATGTATAAACGTCATTACTGTGTGTATGTATTCACCTGCAAATAATACCTTGTCAGAATCTGCCCTCACAGAAAACCATTCTGAGGCTAATGTCATGCTGCTCAAGGCCTGGAGTGCACTTATCGCTGTCATAGCTCCTGGACCTTCCCAGTTGTGTGCTCCATGTCTGCATTTAAACAGAAAATATTTTATGTTAGATTATTTTGTTCTCCCCATGTGGGTTCCAAGGCCCCATTGTCTGTGTGTGTATATGTGTGTGTGTGTGTGGGGGGGGGGGCAATAAACCTACAGCCTCCACAATAAGCATGTCATAAGAGTCGACTAACTGGGAGCTTCCTTCAAAGTTAAATTGCACCTGCCTGAGAAGCGAGCAATCAACAGTCTGCATACAGATAAGCCAGATCTGTAAAATAGATGTGCATGTAAAACTTCAAATTCTTGATCAAAACTAAAGTCCAGAAGTGGAGAACAACTAGAACTTTCAGCCGAAGTTGATAGCTGGTAAATGCCATCAAGAAGTAGAAGACATCACGCTGTTCATATATGCAGTTTCTTGAACGTGTCAGACTAGCTTAAATTTCCCACTGCGGCTGCCCATAAAACTTGCTTGTTATGGCAAGTGCAAGCCTGGAAAAATCCTCCTTGCATACTCCAGAAGTAACAAAACATGCATTCTTGCTTAATGGTATGTCATGTGGTGGTTTACAGCTAGACTGAGATATCTTCTGGGCACAACAAATCTGTGTCCATTTCCCCTCACTCCTCCAATAAAGTCCCATAACCCAGAAGAGTTTTCTTTAGTAATCATTAGCTATGCTTCTGCTTCCATTTACAATAAGAGGGAATATGTTTTATATATATGTTAGTTAGGGGGCGTGACACATAAGGGACTTAACGTCCAACACAACTTAATCTCCTATTTTTCAGCTATAGTGCTTGCCTGTGGTGGGCAAGAACACTGACCTGATCTATGATTCTGGTGATCATGTGAGACAGCAAAACATGATAGTCTATGCTTACCAGCATGGCACATGATGACTGTATGTGTGCTTATTATTTCTTTATCATCTTCTTTGCACCCACAGGCTGTACACTCTGCCAGGGAGTTCTGGTTATACATCCACTTCTAGGCTCAAGTCTTGTTCCAGAATCTGAGTATTGTGTGGACATCCATTCTGCAAATCTCGCTTATTTGTATGCAGACTGTTAGTTCCTCGGGCAGATGCACCCTAACTTCAAGGGAAACACCTCTAATTAGTCCACTTTTATTACATGCCCGTTGGTTTTGGGAGGGGGGGGGGTCTATTTTTTCTTTTGGTCTCCACAATGGGACCCGAAAACCCATACAGGGAGTACCCATTATTTAAAAACAATAGCAATAGTTTTTTTTACCTTGTAGGAGCCAGAAGCCACATGCCCTTGATCCCAAACTGATATTCACCATTCACCATTTTCTTGTAACTATCTGCTTGGTTCTGAGGTGGCACTGTAGTGCCATGTAGTGTTAGAAAAACTGGGCATGCCTCGTTATTACAAGCACCTAGAGGTTCCACGGCTGCTGCATGCTGGACTGATCCATCATGATCAATGAAAGAAAACAGGAAGGAGCTTCCTTTATGTCGACAACGAAGAGTCAGTTTAAAACTCTGGGACCCTTCACTAGTTAGGAGCTTAAACTCGAGATTAAGATCCCTGCAAGAATCTGTGATCTTTCTAGCGTCAGAGACACTCTCTGGTTTTAGATGAACCACAACAGGCCTTACTTGACCTGGGGCTATCTCATAATCATTGCTGATCAAAACAGGATCCAGTGGCTGTCCATCCGACTGGGTAGTAATCTTGATCTTAGTAACCTTCAGCCACTTATCTGCCATTAAGTTAGAAACTGGGATAGATAAATAGAAATTGATAGGAAGATACCCGTTATAAACATCGGGTAAAAATGATGGTTCTAACACTTGGAATGCTGGCATTTTGTTAACTGAGAATTTGAAATTAGCGACAACCTTTGTTCTCAAAGGAATGAATACAGTGTAGACTCCTCTTGACAGCGCAGCAGGAAACCAAAACTGATTTCTGTGGTACAGGTCTCCAACAAGCATTGTGTTCCCAATTGAGCATTTGGCCACGCCAAGGCACTGAAAAGACAACTGCAGATCATTCTCATTTATGAAAAATTCTCCAACTGCCCATCCTTGCCACTCTGTTATCCCCATGGATCCTAGTGAGCTAACCAGATCATTCCAATCGACTTTAGGGTTAATCTTGAGCAATTCTTGGGCACTGCTTTGCTTGAGCTCTGTCCATTTTACAGTGCCACCAGAGGAAAGCTCTGAGACAAAGGTCTCTGAATGATACCGATATCTGGAAACATTTTGTATTCCTCCATAAGCAGCCAACACATCTCCATCAAACTCAGTTTTGCCGATAACAAATGGCCCTATGAACCACCAGTCTTTAACAAATGGTGTATATTTGCCCGCAGCCTTTGTGGCCTGTTTAAAACAATAATCTGCCTGCTGCTTGAGATTTTTCTTCTCAAAGGATGTTCCGAGAAGAGACCAGGCTGAATCATCTTTGTTATTTGCATCCAAGAACTTCAGGATACAAAGTAATGTTTCATCTGATAGCTGTAAGAGAGAAGAAAAAATCAACAAATCAAAAACACATCCTCTGAAAGAGTACAAAACAAAGGTGGAAAACAAAATGAAGTACTGTATATCCATAAGTGTGAGACACACTTATTTTTTCAAAAATATAGGGTCTAAAAACAGTGTGAGTCTTATACAATGGTAGTAGATTTTAACAAATGATATCATTAGAAAATATCCTGTCCAGGGCCACATTTGGGAATGCCAATTCAGCAGCAGCCAAAAAAAAAAAAAAACTTTAAAATAAAGTTCTTTCCCACTGTAATAGCTTTTTGCACTCGTCTTCATGCTGACTGTTTCACACTTGTTACATTAGATTATATTTTGACTATAAATTTCAAAATAGATTTTCAAACAGTGCTAAATTCTCCTTTTTCTTCTTCGCGTTCAACAGCTGTAAACTCTGGTGGAAAGTTCTGGTTGTTCATCCACTTCTGGACTGCAACCCTGTTCCAGAACCTGAGTGTTGAGTGTGCATCCGTTCCACAGATCTGATTCATTTGTATGCAGACTACTGGTTCCTTGCCTCTCAGGCAGATGCACTCTGACTTCGAAGGAAGCACCCAATAAGTCGACTCTTACGACATGCTTTCCCGAAAGAAAAATGTCTCTATCCCTTACTGAAAACCGAGCCAGGATCTCCTGCAAGAGAGCCCAGCACTAATCACTTGGCAGAATGCTTCTCCATTGAATGTATCAATCCCTGAAATCAAACTTACATACATATTATAACCACAAAAAAGATTTCCTCAAACATCTGAGCAGAACAGATCAAGTCAAAAATGTTCGCCTAAAAACTGAACATTGCAGACTCAACAAACACTTATAGAAATAAGGTGTGTGTCAAACAGCTGTACGTCAGTGTCTTTGTGCCAAACAAACCCCAGAACATGTCTTGCAAGACTGTCTTCTCCTGGTTGAGCTGCGAAAAGACACATGGCCATGCCCAGTCGATCTAACAACTAAACTTTGGGGAACCTTAGGATAACATCCCAGGTTATGGCTCACAATGGATTAAGCGCATGACCAGTGATCGCTGAATAAGAAGAAACTTACAAAACAGCACAATGTACGGGAAGCAATACCTGGTCTTTCAACCACAGGCTGCGAACAGAGTGTTTTGTCAGTTGCTTCAATGGACAGTCTGCTGATGCTTCCAGTGCTTTCAACTCTTTGGCTAGAAAATCTAGTACTTCAGCCTGTATGACAAGAGAAAAAAAACAACAACCAAAACTGAATAACTTGGTAGCCAGTGATTCTGATACAGAATGAATGAATAGAAAATTTATAATTTATGTTTTCTCTCTTTTTTTCCTGTAACAATACAAGAGTCGTTACTATAAATGTACCTTTACAGTGATGATGTGGTTAGTATCACACACAGTAACTTTACAGTGATGATGTGGTTAGTATCACACACAGTACCTTTACAGTGATGATGTGGTTAGTATAACACACAGTAACTTTACAGTGATGATGTGGTTAGTATCACACACAGTACCTTTACAGTGATGATGTGGTTAGTATCACACACAGTAACTTTACAGTGATGATGTGGTTAGTATCACACACAGTACCTTTACAGTGATGATGTGGTTAGTATCACACACAGTAACTTTACAGTGATGATGTGGTTAGTATCACACACTGTACCTTTACAGTGATGATGTGGTTAGTATCACACACAGTAACTTTACAGTGATGATGTGGTTAGTATCACACACAGTAACTTTACAGTGATGATGTGGTTAGTATCACACACAGTAACTTTACAGTGATGATGTGGTTAGTATCACACACAGTAACTTTACAGTAATGATTTGGTTAGTATCACACACAGTACCTTTACAGTGATGATGTGGTTAATATCACACACAGTAACTTTACAGTAATGATTTGGTTAGTATCACACACAGTAACTTTACAGTGATGATGTGGTTAGTATCACACACAGTAACTTTACAGTGATGATTTGGTTAGTATCACACACAGTAACTTTACAGTGATGATGTGGTTAGTATCACACACAGTAACTTTACAGTGATGATGTGGTTAGTATCACACACTGTACCTTTACAGTGATGATGTGGTTAGTATCACACACAGTAACTTTACAGTGATGATGTGGTTAGTATCACACACTGTACCTTTACAGTGATGATGTGGTTAGTATCACACACAGTAACTTTACAGTGATGATGTGGTTAGTATCATACACAGTAACTTTACAGTGATGATGTGGTTAGTATCACACACAGTGCCTTTACAGTGATGATGTGGTTAGTATCACACACAGTAACTTTACAGTGATGATGTGGTTAGTATCACACACTGTACCTTTACAGTGATGATGTGGTTAGTATCACACACAGTAACTTTACAGTGATGATGTGGTTAGTATCACACACAGTAACTTTACAGTGATGATGTGGTTAGTATCACACACAGTAACTTTACAGTGATGATGTGGTTAGTATCACACACAGTAACTTTACAGTGATGATGTGGTTAGTATCATACACAGTAACTTTACAGTGATGATGTGTTTAGTATCACACACAGTAACTTTACAGTGATGATGTGGTTAGTATCACACGCTGTAACTTTACAGTGATGATGTGGTTAGTATCACACACAGTAACTTTACAGTGATGATGTGGTTAGTATCACACGCTGTACCTTTACAGTGATGATGTGGTTAGTATCACACACTGTACCTTTACAGTGATGATGTGGTTAGTATCACACACTGTACCTTTACAGTGATGATGTGTTTAGTATCACACACAGTAACTTTACAGTGATGATGTGGTTAGTATCACACACAGTACCTTTACAGTGATGATGTGGTTAGTATCACACACAGTAACTTTACAGTGATGATGTGGTTAGTATCACACACAGTAACTTTACAGTGATGATGTGGTTAGTATCACACACAGTAACTTTACAGTGATGATGTGGTTAGTATCACACACAGTAACTTTACAGTGATGATGTGGTTAGTATCACACACTGTACCTTTACAGTGATGATGTGGTTAGTATCACACACAGTAACTTTACAGTGATGATGATGATGTGTTTAGTATCACACACAGTAACTTTACAGTGATGATGTGGTTAGTATCACACACAGTAACTTTACAGTGATGATGTGGTTAGTATCACACACAGTAACTTTACAGTGATGATGTGGTTAGTATCACACACAGTAACTTTACAGTGATGATGTGGTTAGTATCACACACAGTAACTTTACAGTGATGATGTGGTTAGTATCACACACAGTAACTTTACAGTGATGATGTGGTTAGTATCACACACTGTACCTTTACAGTCATGATGTGTTAGTATCACACACTGTACCTTTACAGTGATGATGTGGTTAGTATCACACATGTTGTTAGTACCTTTACAGTGATGATGTGGTTAGTATCACACACTGTACCTTTACAGTGATGATGTGGTTAGTATCACACACTGTACCTTTACAGTGATGATGTGGTTAGTATCACACACTGTATCTTTACAGTCATGAGGTGTTGGTATCACACGCTGTACCTTTACAGTGATGATGTGGTGGGTATCACATACTGTACCTTTACAATCATGAGGTGTTAGTATCACACGCTGTACCTTTACAGTGATGATGTGGTTGGTATCACACACTGTACCTTTACAGTGATGATGTGGTTAGTATCACACACTGTACCTTTACAGTGATGATGTGGTTAGTATCACACACAGTAACTTTACAGTGATGATGTGGTTAGTATTATACACAGTAACTTTACAGTGATGATGTGGTTAGTATCACACACTGTAACTTTACAGTGATGATGTGGTTAGTATAACACACAGTAACTTTACAGTGATGATTTGGTTAGTATTACACACAGTAACTTTACAGTGATGATGTGGTTAGTATCACACACTGTACCTTTACAGTGATGATGTGGTTAGTATCACACACTGTACCTTTACAGTGATGATGTGGTTAGTATCACACACTGTACCTTTACAGTGATGATGTGGTTAGTATCACACACAGTACCTTTACAGTGATGATGTGGTTAGTATCACACACAGTAACTTTACAGTGATGATGTGGTTAGTATCACACACAGTACCTTTACAGTGATGATGTGGTTAGTATCACACACAGTTTACTTTACAGTGATGATGTGGTTAGTATCACACACAGTACCTTTACAGTGATGATGTGGTTAGTATCACACACAGTAACTTTACAGTGATGATGTGGTTAGTATCACACACAGTAACTTTACAGTGATGATGTGGTTAGTATCACACACAGTAACTAACTTTACAGTTAGTATGATGATGTGGTTAGTATCACACACAGTAACTTTACAGTGATGATGTGGTTAGTATCACACACAGTAACTTTACAGTGATGATGTGGTTAGTATCACACACAGTAACTTTACAGTGATGATGTGGTTAGTATCACACACAGTAACTTTACAGTGATGATGTGGTTAGTATCACACACAGTAACTTTACAGTGATGATGTGGTTAGTATCACACACAGTAACTTTACAGTGATGATGTGGTTAGTATCACACACAGTAACTTTACAGTGATGATGTGGTTAGTATCACACACAGTAACTTTACAGTGATGATGTGGTTAGTATCACACACAGTAACTTTACAGTGATGATGTGGTTAGTATCATACACAGTGCCTTTACAGTGATGACACAGTTAGTGTCATACAGAGTGCTTTACACTCACAGAAACTGTTTGGTACTAACATACTTTTGCAGATGAAAAAATGGGTCAATTTTATTTTTGCCCACAATGGAGCCCCAGAACCCACATGGTACACTTAGCCAAACAGTGCAATATCTAGCTATGCTAATGTGCAATTAAGTGGACATTTTTTAAAACTTAAAACCTCTTTTAATCATAAGCTCATAAAGTGCTTACTGAAAACTAGGTAGCTGCCTGTCATTTTTATATGTTAATTAAGCCCATATTGCATCATATTTATTTGAGATATACATACACAGATAGGCATAACAACCACAATTGCAATTATATATAGTTGTTAAGGGATTCATTAGGAAATAAACTAGTTATTGCCAAAAAGTGCAAACATGTAGTCACTTCAACCCTTTATTTTACTGGGATGCAGCCCAAAATCCATCTTTTATCAGATTCCACTATAACTTGTCTATGGTGGTATCCACCACTAAAATTTTAATATCTCTGCTTAGAACTGACCTACAGGCTTCACTGAGGTATCGTTGGGTTGGATATTTTAATATATAATTAACTTCATAAGTAAAACCCCATTATATAAAACTTCACTAGCATACAATATCATATCTGTGTTTTTTCTCCCCACCTGCAGATAAAAAGCTTCTTTTGGAAGCATTAAATAATTTATATGAATGTTTACCCTTAAGGCTGTTGTCTTTTTTCATGGACCATTCCTCTAATTTACATTTTTTTTAATTGGTGATTTGATGTCTCTTGTACTCATACTAATTTAACATTAACACATTAGTAGTGTTTTGATTGAATCTACCCCCCCCCCCCCCCCCCACCCCACCCCTTTCTGCAATTGTATTACCATGTATTCCCAAATGAGCAGGTATCCATACAACCAGCACTGAGCATCATTGTGTGTTTAGATATGTGGAAGACAGAGAAATTTGGCTCTACTGGCAAATCCGGACGAAGAATAAAAAGCCTTGGACGATTAGTCAGAGTTCTCTCCCTTGGCCGCACTCCCAACAGTGATCGGAAAAGCCAACGAAACAAAGAAGACAGTCATGTCGACATCAGGGCTGCCAATGCTTGGTTGTTTCCCCCAGATCTGGGTTTTTTTTCGACGCTGCAGGACAATTTTGGGTTTTTTTTTTTTGGGTGTGTTTTGTTTGTTGCTTTTTGCCAATTTGTATGCTTTAATGATCGATAAATTTGCGTGGTTAGGGGTAGGGGTTAGGGTTAGGGAGTAGGATTAGGATTAGGGTTAGCGGTAGGGGTTAGGTTTAGCGTTAAATTTGACAATTTTGACGCCGGATTTCCCTATAATCGCGCACAGTCCCATACACACACACAAACAATCAAGGGCCTCTGGATGCTGGTCAAACGCACAATTCGCCAACGATTGGGGGCACCAGCCGCACGCTATTGGCGTCATATTTGGCAGAGTTTCAGTGGCGCCACTCCCACAAACATCTGTTTGTCGGCCAGTATTTCGAAATCCTACGTCAAAATTTTCACATCTAACCCTAACCCTAACTCTAACCCAACAACCGCATGATGACTACACAACCATTCACGATGCCTCACGCAACCGTACGCAACCCTGCACGCAACCATGATGACCACGCATCCCTTAACGATGCCTCACGCAACCGTACGCAGCCCTACACGCAACCGTAGGATGATAGGTAAGTGTGTCGTTTGTTTCGTTTTGGCTTTTCCGATCACTGTTTGGAGTGCGGCCAAGGGAGAGAACTCTGACTATGTCGTCCAAGGCTTTTTATTCTTCGTCCGGATTTGCCAGTAAAGCCAGAAATTTATATTAAGCCTTGTCTGCTACGTATTTGTGAATGAATGTTTCATGAGAATGAGGATGACTGCTGCAAGGAGTTACCAGGGGATCTGGCCCACGCTCAACACTTATGGGAAGGATGAAATGGATACATAATCAGACGGTTACTTGTACTATCAGAATTGGAACTGTTTGCTTGCTGCTGAAGATGTGGACTGAGCACTCATAGGAGTGTCCCGAGTGATGTGATGTCGATTCTTAATTCAACATTCTAGTAAGGAATGCATGTTTTAAAGCTTGCTTGCTTGTTGTACCCCATCAGGACATCACATAAGCGATAAACACCCGGTGACACAAAGTACCACCATGGGGATGAGGATCACCGTGGAGAGGTCACAGAAACCCCTTTCAGCCGTTATGGCCACAATTGTGGCCCAGCTATATTCAGGGCCTCTGGCAAAATCCAGCGTAGGCCTTCAAATAACGAAAAATCGCATCCCACAAGGGGACGACTTTGATGTTTGAAAGCCTGAATAAGTTGACAAGTTGACACTGAGCACTGACAGTTTGAGTTGTCTGTCTGTCAACTACAGTGAACAATGACAGTGAATAAAATTTCAAAATGAATTGAGCTTTTCTGGTACTGAACAACAGCTTCACCTCTTTCTTCTTTCCATAGATTGCGTTGAGCGAAAATATGTAAATAAAAAATATATGTACAACGATGGCCCTCCTGCAATTCAGAAATTGCATGTCTGTTTTCCTTTCTGCTACAGCAGACAATTTCAGATTTATCTACCCTTGGTGCCAACATTTGGCAGCGTGACTAGATATAGGCCTTGATTATTATGGTCCATGGAGGGGAAAACGTCATCTCGGAGTTATTGCTGCAATGAAATTATATTAATTGCGCAAATTTTATCTTTATCTGGACTATCAATCTTTGAAAGAAAGCACAAAGCAGCAGCGGTGACAATAGAAATAGCAGCAATTGAGGAGAGGAAGCAAAAGATTATGTTTGCTTGACGTACTCTCTTGCATACTGGTGTTTTGTTTTCTGCAAAATCCGCCAAAATGTTTACACATATGCAAAGAAAAACCCCGCATAATACATCACTTTTCTAAATGTATACAGTTATCAAGGGATGGATATAAGCTACCGTTGACTTCTACAATTACATGAGGTGTTTCTTTTATTCTTTGCCACCGGTACATCAGAAACATCCAAGGATTCCTCAAAGTTCATTCTGGGTCCTGACATGAAATGCAAAAGTGATCACTGTTAATCTCCAGGGAGGTCACGAACTGGGGCTTGGGCACCGTTGATCGTCAACATACTGAACACTTTGGCCAGAAATGTCCAATCAGCAGTTCGCCGTAATAACTTCAAGGAGGCTAATACAAATCACTTTGAATAACTCGTGTAAATGTAATAGTGGTCGAAGGTGACTTGTACTCACCAACTGATGCTGGCATTAATTTTTTAGTAGTAGTAGCAGTAGTAGTAAAAATAACAGTAGTAGTAGTCGTAGTAGTAGTAATAGCAGTAGTAGTATAAGTAGTATTAGCAGCAGTAGAAGTTGTTGTTTTTTCAAAACTGTTCTGTTCTGAAGTGACAGTCGACTTGAAGTTGTCAACATCTTCATGTTGTACGTTCTCTCACTGAGCCAATGTAAAAAAAAAAAAAAAGCCTTCCTCCCCGCCCCCTCCTTTTCCCCGTATAGTCAATTATGGAACAAAACCAGAGACCATTAAGCACTGCTGCTACTTCGACAGGGCTGAGATGTGTAAAGGGCGAAAAAAAAAATGAAAAAAAAGGGGGGGGGGGGGGGAGGAGGTAATGTTACTAGTAGTAATTGGGATGTACGTGTGTATAGTTGTTTCAATTTTGATGTTGGATATCTATGCTGCTCAATAACTTTTAGTTATTTTACAATGGTCATCTGCATCATAAGACTGGCTATGCAACGATGTGTCTTCAAGCGTGTTAGGTAGAACATCGGATTTGCAAGTTTACATGTTGTTTTCTCGAACAATTGACTGTCTCCAGCCTATGTAACAAAGCAGCAGATGTGGTCCTCTCATCATTCGTTGCCTGCTACTATTTACCACTTCAAGGTAGAAACACGACAGAAAAGGAGGATGATGTTCTAATTCAAGGTAAGACATTGTATATATTAAACTTGCATAAAAACCTGTCGTTATTTGTCTGTATGCATCACTATTTTTCTGTTGACCGCGTGAACACGACAGGAGTCCTTTTCATGGCTCTTGGAAGCGAGAAGTGCTAAGCCATTCTTTTGGCGCACATAACATGGTCACAATTATAACCTAAAGCTCCCCATTGGGGATGCTGTTTGTACATGACGATTTTTTTTTCTCTCTAGCAAAGCACCTTTTATAGATAAAAAGTATACTAATTCAAGATGATAGATCTTAATAATCCAGGCTAAAATCGCACATGGCCCCGTCTCTCACTGCCAATCAAACAATCACAACTGCGCTCGCAAAACCAAACGACGGAATCAGCTACCGAACCAATTATTTTCAGACAGCACAGAAACTTACCCCCTGCATCATAAAATGGCTTGGACTGCAGGTGCCACGTAACGTCTCATTTATATTTGAAAAGCCCTCCGAATGGCACCAACAGAGGTACTGCTTTGTGTGTTTTGTAACTGTATATGTACATGCTGCAGGAGATCGCAGATTATGGAAAGGCATGATCGCCCACGCCAGTCGGCAAGGCACCCGATGATGATATGGTTAGGTTTGTGTCGTGAGTTGCTTTAGCAAAGTTGGCCTACTGGTTTGTTCCCTTGCTTTGCTCGAAAAAAAAAAAGTGGCATGTGCAACCAGCATCCCGAAGGGAAAGCCTTAGGTTATAATTCTGACTAGGTTATTTGCCCCATATAAAATTACTTAGCATTGTACGCCACCTAGAGTCTTGAAAAGACTCCTGTAGTGTTGTTGGGATCAAAGGCGACAGACCCAAATACTGTTGATATTGTTGTTGTTCATGTCGATGCCGCTGTTGGTAATGTTATTCTTGTTGTTGTTGTTGCTGTTGTCTTTGTTGACGTTGTTGTTCATGTTGTTTTTTGACAATTAACCCTCCAGAGTTGTAGGATTAACATCTCAAAGATGAGAGTGAAAAAAAACATTTACATTCCCGAAACGCCGGTCAGCCGCCGTATAGTCGTTTACAGAGCATTGCAAGTTCACGTGGTACCCGGTGCGGGATTTTTTTTCATATCTCCAAACCCACACACAAACACCCAGATATGCCTATACATTTTAAACGCTAAAAGCCCAATTGCTTGGCAACTTGTCACAAGCCCCCGCGCCCCCCCCCCCCCCCCTCCCGCCGGGGTTCAGTAATGACACAAGGTACGGTCCGCGACCCAGCTTAAAATGGGTACAAAGTAAAGAACCCTTTTCCAGGCCTTTAGGGGTACTGGGCACATAGGGCTAGACCTATATTTCATAAACCAATCGGCACATGGTCGATGATGTGGTCAGCATTACGTCGGCCGCCTTTACTTCCCAGGATGTAACCTAGTACCCGTTCAAGACTGGGTCATTTTTTTAAACGGCTCCGTCCTGTAATCGGTACAAGGTAATAAATATCAAAAGAACTAAAGGCGCCCATCGTGGTGCTGACCATAATCTGCTACCCAGTGCCGACGTCGTCACTGAAAGTAACAGTTTGTGTGCGTGTGAATGTGTGTGTGTGTGTGGGGGGGGGGGGGGGGAGGGTGCATACATGCGTATGCGCGAGCGTGATTGGGTAGATTAGAGCGTATATGCATGTGTGCGCATATTTATGTGTGTGTATATGCACTTGGGTGTAGGTGTGTGTGTATGTATGTGGTACGAGTTAGTGAGTGAGTGTTTGTGTATGTGTGTGTCTGCGCGTGTGTATTGAACTCCAGCTACTAGAAAGGGAGTCCTGTCGTAACAGTTATTGTTGAATTCTCTCCCTTTGACTGCCTTTCGAGTTGAACTTTGTTGGTAATGTCGTGTTGCATAATTGTCTTTTTTTGGGGTACTGTATTCAGTTTAGTTTAAACAACAGATTAACATCATGACACAAGGGTAGTAACCCATAAGTGCTTCGTTCTACTTTTAACTCAAGACTGGGCCCGAAGAATCTCAGTGCACGAACTCCGTAGCACCGGCGAGGATCTTGAAATACTTTTAGGTAGTTTTATATATATAAAAGGAAGAAGCATGAAACAGAGTATATATCATCGTTATACGGATAATATATATCATGGCGAATCGCTGACGCTAACATCACTGCGTGACCGAGGAGTTGATCTTAGTAAGCACGTCTATGTCGTCGTCTTCGAGGTAAAGACAAGGGATATTATAAACCTCATGAAACAATCGTAGTTATCACCTTCGACGTGACTTTTGCATTCGGAGGAATCCCATGGGGATTCCCATGCGTGCTCACGGTGTCCTACGACACGATGCAGCATATATATATATCCAATATATATGTCTCTACTGATTGTTCTCATGAGGTTATAATATCCCTTGTCTTTACCTCGAAGACGACATAGACGTGCTTCACTAATATCAACTCCTCGGTCACGCAGTGATGTTAGCGTCAGCGATTCGCCATGATCCCCCAACCTAGTCCGTACAACGATGATGGTATCGACTCTGTTCATGCTTCTTCCTTTTTGCATTGGTACATTTATGTGTATGTCCGCATTTGCGAGAGAGAGAGAGCGAGAGAGAGAGAGAGAGAGAGAGAGAGAGAGAGAGAGAGAGAGAGAGAGAGAGAGAGAGAGAGAGAGAGAGAGAGAAAGAGAGAGAGAGAGAGAGAGAGAGAAAGAGAGAGAGAGAGAGAGAATGTTTAGTATTATTTAATCATCAAACATAATTTATGTATGGCTAACCACCTTATATGCAAAGATTAGCATAGGGTCCTATATGTATATATACGTCAAAATCCTGCTCATGGCTTCTTTTTCATACATTTTATGTGTAGGACAGGGATGTGTCTTATCACCACTCCTGTTTGTCACCTACATTGACAGTAAAAGCAAGGATGCCAGGCCCAGGAACGAAAATAACAGTAACATCAACAAATTACGCTCTGCTGATGAACAGGTCTTGACTGCAGATAAAGCCGTGAATTTACAACATCTCACATGAATGAAGAATATAAATAAAATATTATGAGAATCAACATTGAAAAGACAGGGGTAATGTCAGTGGTCAAAATGGACGCTAGGCAGGGGCACTGTTTGGAGCCGAGGCAAACTTTTTGCTTCTGCCGGACGGTGGCCGATGCATTTTTGCTCCATTTGTAGACTGGATATAGTTTCGCCGCCCAGCTTCTGAGTTGAATGCATGGTGTGAAACTGTGAGCTGCTGATTTCATTCGGAATGTTTTTTCGACTGTGACCATCGTGGTTGTGTGAACTGTCGCAATGTTGGTGGTGCCCGTATGTGATTAAAATTTGCTGGCGTGGGCAACAGCTGATCTATTGGTGGCTTCTGCTACCATTACTAATGAACTGCATTTCTAATGTCGGACTATTTGTGTTAGCACTTCGGATGGCTACAGTATGATTTTAATGCCTGTGTATGATAGACATACTGAGACAGCAGTCTGTCAATCTTTCCACAAGGGACTGTGATAAACATTCTGTGTGTTTTTCGTTGGCACAGGAGCGGAGCAAAGATGGGGTCACCCGTTTGCTATGAAGCTGAAACTAAGACTATCAGACTAC